CATAACTTCCATCTTTGTAATCATCATCATCTTTGTAATGTCATTATCATTCTTTTAATCATCTTTATCGTCATCATCATCGTCATCTTTGTAATAATTATTAATATTATCATGTTTTAATGCTCGTCAATATCAAAATCATCTGATGATAATTGTATTTGTGATCAGTCTCCTCTTTGCAATTATCATTATCATACCAGCCACCATCATTATCTTTATAACCATCATCATCACCATCTCTATTACCATCATCATCACCATCTCTATAACCATCATCATCACCATCTCTATAACCATCATCATCACCATCTTTGTTGCAATCAGTATCATTTTTTGATCATCATCATCATCATCATCAGTGGCTGCGTTTCATATAAACCAATAACTGTGTTGTAGCAAGGATGAAGGTTCAGCCGGTGGCGAAAGAAGTAGCTACATCATCGTTTTTTTAATCGACATTGAAATCATTCTCACAGTAATTAATCATCATCATCATTATCATCATCATTATCATTAATGGTATCATCGTAATCATCATTATTATCATTATCACCATCATCATCATCACCACCGCAATCATCATCATCACCATCATTAATAGCATCATCGTTATCATCATCATCATTATCACCATCATAGTCATCAAAATTATTTTACCATTAACAAAGTTTTCATCATCATCATCCAAACCATTGAAATAATAATTTTGTTTTTTTTTCATCATCATCAGTATAAACCCATCTATAATATTTTATATATAATCATAATTTTTTTATGATAAATTTTTTACTTTAAAATTTGTAACAAAATTGTAGCAAAATTAAAACAAAAACGCTTGGATTAAAGTTCTCAAAGTTAAATTACGTGGTGTCAATCATTAAAGAGGCATTCAACCAGTTGACTGGCAGGCAATCAAGTTTGCTTTTGAGTTGCGATATGAAGTAGCGAAGCAACCATTGAATCTGCCACTGCCTACCACGCTTCAAACAACATAACATTCTTACATCACCACACATCTTTATACTACATTCACGAAACAATGCACTTATATTAAAATTCATTTGGATGCATGATCAAACAGATAGTAAAGCTCCTTTTGTTTTGCGTTCGTGAATTTATTTGCTAACGTGCATTCCACTACTTATCCAACTCTCTAATCAGTTTAAACAATTTTCTTTTTCATAGTTAAATTGCAGACGATCACCAAAAATGAAGCATCCAAGAGATATTAATCTTTTTCAAGATTAGGTACTGGTTTCCTAGCAAAACTGCTCAATTAATTAGCACGACTATGAGGAGTTACTTGATGGCAACGATGCAATATCGGATGACATGTCGTTCCTAACAATCAGCTCTAACTTCCTTGATGTGCTTTGGAGTTCTATGATGCATATACATTACATATACAGGATATCACGCTAGCTTCAAATGTTTATTGTGATTTTTGATTATGTTTCAATTTTGAAAATCTGTGAGATCTATTATTTTCAACTTTAGATGCAGATAGATTTTTTAAAGTTAATTTAAAACATAAATTATTTAATGATGCAGATTTTTAATAAAACAGTTTCCACGAGTGTGTAGGACTTTTTTGGAAAAAGAATTTGAAGATGGTGAAGATGAAGGAAGGTTGTCGATCATCATCGCCACTAACTTTCTCCAGTTAAATTATTATTAAAAGCACACTTGCGATGTAATTTTCCATTTCAACATTTCAGGCTGAACATCTCAAAATATTTTCAATGTAACATTATTTGGGAGAAGCAAAGAATACACGAACTGCTTGTTCATAAAAATACGCGAGGATGTCTGCTCGTGTACAATTCAGTTTAACTTCAAGTTTCGCGTGTTTAATGCCTGCATATCTATGATTAAATGATTGAAAAATAAATAAATAAAAACAAATGAAGCACACACGCACATACATACACATACATACCTTAGATACATGCATATGCATACGTAAAATAATGTTAATATGAAATAAATGAGAAAAAATGAATACATTTGCAGCGTATTAAACTTTTGTACATACACGATTGAGTGTATTGCATGTGTATTAGTAGAAGTATTTTCAATGGGCGATTTGGTATGCAACTTCAGAATGCATTTTCAGTGCGTAAAAATGAAAAGCATTAAAATTAATAACTGGATGAGCAAACAAAAAAACCTAACACAAATGAACATGAACACACATACATACATGCACAATACAAGACAGCACACATATACATGCATTCATACATGCATTCATACATGCCTTCATAACATCAAACATAAACATCAATTTATAATTTATTTTCACTATTATAAATTGAAATATAGTTATTAATATTTAAATTTTCTTTTGCCATTTCATCATCACGCATCACTGCTGCTCACATATGGTGCTTTATTTACTTGCAATTGAACTTGTGTGCCAAGAGGATTGCAACATCCTCCCCCAGCCACGTTCATAAATATTTTCATCTCATTTATGTAGATATATATAGTCTCTGAGTTGAACGCATGAGTCCTTGAACCGTGTCAGCTGACAATAAGAACGCCCGACATACCCCTAGTATGTCGTGCGTTCTTATTGTCGCAATCAATCCGTCTGAGCCAACCCTTCATTCGTGTCACTCAGGTTATTGGGTTTTGAATGCAATAAAAATTATTTCTTGATCGTAATATATGTTCATAAAAAAACTATTAGTACAAAATATGTAATGTTATTTAATTGCGGCATCTCACATCAAACAAAGAGCAGCTGAAGAAAAGCCAGCGAGGTAAATAACTTCAAAAAATAATTCTCTTATTGTTGTTCTTCTATTGTCCAATCTGACCAGTGGTTGAGCAGAACACATCAAAAATGTTCAAACAACCGTGCCGTGAGTGAAAAGCGAGAAATATTTTAGAGGAGAGGTTTCGTGTTTCATGCAACTCGGAAAGAGTTAGGGTTAGGGTTATTTACTGTAAAAACATCAAATACATAAACATCAAACATATGAACATCCACATACGAACATTGAACAGCCACATATAAACAGCCACATATGAACATCAACAAATGAACAACCACGTGTGAACATCAACATGGACATCATCATATGAGCATTTGCAAGAAATGTTGCAAAAAGTAGAACCAAACTTATCCTTGCATTTGTTTCATCTTGACAACGAACTTTCATTCTTTCCAAGTCTAAAGGTGGGTGCAAGGATAATTATAAAAACTCCAATAAAATCATCAAACAACTTTTATCACGTCCTTTAAAGATGACAGAACAAGGTAAATAAAACTATCGGTATTAAGGCTATGTAAACATGACTTCATTTATTAAATACATATTTTTACGTACATGTTTACCTACATATATACATACATACATAATACATAAAAACTTACATACGATTACACATACAAGGTATCCATTGGTTAAAACCAGTGATGACGAGTACTTAAGTACATTTGTACTTAAGTACGTACTTAAGTACAAACGTAGCACTTAGATACTTATACTTAAGTACATATGGAAACCTGTACTTAAATACTTATACTTAAGTACATTTTTCAGTACTTGTACTTATAAGTAATAAATTTTTCCTGTAAGTACCAGAAAAATTTTAAGCAAAAATAAGATAATGTCAACATTTAAAAATTGAAAACTGTGATGAAAACACACACACACATTTTCACATTGACATTCTTGTTTATCTCTCTTATTAACATTTGTTCTTGTTTAGTCATGGATAGCGGGATGTTAAGATAACCATTGGCTAATTGAGTCATTAAAAGGTGGTTAACTCACATCACTCTGACATCTATATATCTATATCATAGACTCTACATGATCTATATACACATGCACGCTATATATAGTAGTTATTATATATATATATATATATATATATATATATATATTTATATATATAACAATCCTTATACGTATATTTACTGGAACGTATATTTAGCCAGGCTGGAATGATTCTCACTCCTAAAAGAAATCGTTTAAGTGATGAATCATTTGAAACTTTACTTTTACTCAAAAAGAACAAACTCTTTTATTGATGTAAATAAGTTACTGTAAATAATGAGTTGATTTCTGAGTTTAATAAATTTATAAATATTTCAAATTAACCATGGTATGTACTTAGGTACTTATGTACTTAGTACTTATACTTAGTACTTATAAGTATCAAGTATGCAATTCATTTTGGTACTTAGCATTTATACTTAAGTACTTTTATTACTTAGTACTTAGTACTTATACTTAAGTACATTTTTTGAGTACTTACGTCATCACTGGTTAAAACTATCGACAATGTACCGAACAAATCAAATTGTTTCCATGGAACGATTATACTCGACGAGACTCAAACTATTGTTCGCATGCACCGACCACAAGGTACGTGCAAGCATCTGCAAGGTTGTCCTCATCTAATCAAACAACCATTCTCATTTTCGTTTAATGATTTTCATCTTTAACAAACTGATCGGCGATGTTTGCATAACGATTGCACATCCCAAGTGCAGGTGTGTAATGTTTTGTGTTAGTTGAATGCTGCACGTTTCAGAACATCAAAGAATTCAATGGAATCCATTTTTGTTATTGCCACTCGTTAGCATCGTTCGTTTTTACTTCGGTATCATGTTGTGGCGCTGTTATCGCGTGTCGTTACTTCGAACAATGCTCTTTATTATCATCAGCAAGTAGGAAAATTATTAGAATCATCATTATCATCATTACCGTCAACATCGTCGTCGTCATCTTAGTCTTCATTATCACTATCAGGACCAACTGATCATCACTATCATGACCAACTGACCATCATCACCATCATCATCATGACCAACTGACCATCATCATCATGACCAACTGACAATCGTCACTATCAACATCATGACCAACTGACCATCACCATCATCATCATCATGACCAACTGACCATCGTCACCATCATCATCATGACCAACTGACCATCGTCACCATCACTATCATGACCAACTGACCATCGTCACCATCATCATCATGACCAACTGACCATCGTCACCATCACTATCATGACCAACTGACCATCAGTATAGTCAGCAAGGTAGTGAGGGGCTCTCTTCTTCCAATCCTCCATCAAACCACTGCCCATCCAGTGCTTCTTGCGATTCTGATAGTGATGATGACGATGATGATGATGACGACGATGATGAGAGGGTTTGTTGATTATGATATTAATAATAATAATAATAATATAATGTTGTTGTTGTTGATAATGATGACGATACGGATGATGTTTCCAAAAACCTCAAAATTATTTTCATCAACGTTAAAATCTAATTTCAAGTGTTCATCAGGAGCAAACGGTGAAGATTTTAAAGTGGTACGTTACAACGGTGTGGTGGCCTAGTGGTTAAGGTGCCTGGTGATGCTTCGCAGTATGACAAAAAGATCCCTGACTATCACATTCTTCTTATGAGATAAAAACTGACCATGCAAATAATTTGAACTTGAACTTTTAGTTATTTTGAATATTTTGTAAAAACAAGTAACATTTTTGTTTTTTACAGTTTTTACGGTTTAGCACGTATTCATATGCGATGTTTGTGCGTGTTGTTCAATCCTATGAACTTTGGAAGGGTGTAATTGACCTTTAATCTTTTTTAATTGACCTACTAGTACACATTATAAAAAAAACCTAGATACTTAGAACAGAGTTTCAAAATGTTATTCATTTGTTCATAAAATCTACAGTTTTCAAAGCCTCAGATATCTGAATTCTAAACATGCAATGGTGGGTACGATTTGTCACACTGATGTGTGGATATTTCAACAATTCCACCGGCACAAACAACAGTGCAACTCATCATCATTTTAAGAATAATTTACCTCCTAATTATATTATCAATTCACACTTTCATTTGTATAACGAAAGATGAAATGAGAATTGAAACCAGAGTACACTTCGGTGCATTTCAAATGAATGTTTGTTTCAATCAACAGCAGCATTCAATGTTTCATACTAGTTATTGTATGTTGTTACGAGGACTACAGTATTGTTGAAGACTGAATGAATGAATGAATGAATGAACGAACAAACGAATAAATGAATGAATGAATGTTTAAGTAAATAAATAATAGCATAGCATTAAATGACCGACAGGCAGACCAGCAGACCCAATGACCACCAACATTCCAATTTGAACGCACACGAAACGGTGTAGATCGCAGGCAATAATTAAAACATGAAAAGAGGAATGAAACACTTCGAAATAAATGAGTTCGGTCTGACAGCCTTTAAGGAAGGAAAGAAATTGTAAATGTTCGTTTGGCAGCATTGCAGATGTAGTTCTTGCCTTTCTGTTATTCTTTCATGAGTAACATATTCATCCATCCATCCATCCATCCATCCATCCATCCATCCGCAATTGTGTCATTACTTTTCAAAAGAAGTGTGAACCTCTTGTGAATTGTTCTTCGATTTGTTTTTTTTTTAAATTGTTACTTTGAAAAGTGGCTTAATTAATTAATTAATTAAATAATTTGAAAAGATATTTATTGATGGAACCGTGCAAGCAGTTAAACATACAGTGATTTAGTTATCGGAAAAAATTTATTTTGATACTGTGATACGGGATGCTTGTCTGTATGCAGTCTGTGTGTGTGTGTGTGTGTATGTATGTGTGTGTGTGCGTGGTGTGTGTGTGTGTCACAACACCTATGTACGTACATACAGCCTGTACAATCATTAAACATTATTTTACTATTTTTTTAATTAAATTAAATGCATATGTTTGAATTTGTGTTTATGCGTAATTTGTGTGTTTGTATACAGTGTATGATAATTGTAACTGTATTTTGTGCTTTCAAAAAAATAAAAAAAATTGTAATTTTTCGTTTTTTATTCAACTTTGTTTTCATTCTATTTTTTGTTGTATATTATCGAAGTTACAATGAAACAAATGTCCCGCCAAGACATGGCTGTAGTTGAATCAATGAATTTTTAACAAATCAAACAAACTAAGATTATTATCTCAAAAAGTGAAAAAGGTAATAATTGGGACAGATAGATAGATAGCATGAGTGATACGGATGATCAGATGTGGCTGATGAAGAGGATTTGTCATCGTTCCCATCAGTATCGATCCGAATGTCTCAGAAGTCTTGGTGGGAAATTTATTGCTATTGTCGTTTATATAACTCTTCTCATCTACGTCATAATCATCGTCGTCGTCATCATCATCATCATCGTTATTTTGCCAATGGTCTGGTTATCATTTCAATTAAAACTGTGGATTATTATTTTGTTATAAAAGACTTATTATTAAATTTCAAAGAAGCACACGATAGCAAAGCATTGAAAGTTATTCAAAGAGAGATTAATTGACCTTACTTGATTTAAACGTTTAAAATTTACGCCATTCAAATAAAAAATTCATCCCTCTTATGAGCACTGTTCAAATTAGTATAAAATCTTCAATAAATATTTTATGAACTTTTTGACATGATGTTTTTACGTAACCTTTACGTAATTTGTTTGGGTGAATTAGGCGAGTGATGTAAACAGCCTCGTGAGAAGTGCTTGATGGCCAATGCATCCAAAAACAACCAAATGAAACTAAAAATTTGTTGAAAGCTATTTAATAAAAATAAGTATTTATTTTATGAAAATTTATCCAAATAAATCGAACTAGGCGTCTTTAACGTCATTTATATTTATTCAAAATATATTTATCATTTAATTCTAATTTTAAAACTTTGGAAGGGGATTTTTGCTTGAAAAAAATTGGCATCGTAAAGCATTGATTGAGTTCCCCATGTTACTCGTAAAGAAAAAAAATTTTTGTGAGTCTGTTTTTGTCCGGAACTGTTCAATTTTTTCGATTCGTTTCATTTAATTAGGCAGCACTGCACTGCCATGCCACAATAAATCACATTAACTCATGTGACATCGCATGCGAGAGATGCTGTACATTGCGCAGATTTGAATCGCAATGAATGACAATAAACCATGTTACATAATCTTCAACAAACTAACAACAACTTACATTCTAATTGTACGATGAACTTATCTCAATTGAAAAATAATCACTTCAGTTATACAATTTTCTGATCTTGCAAAACTTTAATTTAAAAATTTGAACTTTGTAGTCTATCAAGCAAATTATGTTGTCAAGTATGTCAAATAATCTGCTTACCTTTTGTTATTTAAATTGAAGTTATAACTTATTTGAATTACATTTGCAGGTTTTTCATTTAAATTAAAGTTAAATATTTCATTTTGTTAAAACTGAGCATGTTGGCATGCAGCACAAAAATAGGCTATAACATTAAAATTATCAAGTTTAACACTCTCGACATGTTTTGCCTATGACGTGATAACGTTAACAATAATTGCAACAATTTGAGTTGCATTCTAAAAACTGGCTCAATGAACTTGTTACAGGCAGTTACATTTGCAAACATGGGTGCTGCTGCTTGCATGGAAGCAAGCAAAAAATATTAAAACAGCAATTATTCATGCATAATTGACAAGGCAATTCATCTTTTGAACGGTCGTCAGAAACATTTCTGTAAGAAGCTTTATAAAAGAAATTTTTTCAAATGAGCATAATTGCTACAATTAACTTTTAAATTTCACATTTTAAAGAATAAATTTTCCAGCTAACCTTCTGTTTTAACAATAGAATGGAAATTTACTTTTAATTAGAAAAAATTATTTGTTTCTTTCCCTTACAAATTTTGTAATTGAAACTAGCATATGAATACTCTACATGTTAAGTTTTGTTCAAATTTGATGTCGTTTGTTTGAAAAAAATAAAAACTTTCATTCATAAACTATTTCAACTTAAAATGACGGATTCACAGATTTTTTTTCTAACAATCCAAACTGGCATTTGTGTCAAAATGCAGGATGCTTTTAATTAATAATACACAAAACTGAAATTTAATGTATGATGATATGGAGAAACATATTTTTTACGCAACATTAAAAAAACACCAAGAATCCTGGAAAATCTATATAATCGCACCTACCAATAAATTTATATTTGCATAATAGCAGTCTCCAGCTAGCATCACAACTCTTCTGTGTATATGATAAAAACAAAGTTGGCGTTTCTCACGAAAGCATTTTTAAGTTATTTTGACCATTTCCCTCCTTTGCTTAGCATTGTCATAGCATTTTATTGAAATGAGATTTAGTCTGCTAAACGAAAGCTCACAGCTTGCAATTGTCAGATTGTCGATCGGATTCGCTGTTTTGTTTGTGTCAAACAGTTACAACTAATGGTGAATAAAAAAATATGTTTAGTTTAAAAAATCTATTAAAAACATTGTTAGAAAGAAGTTTTGAAATGAAATATAATGAATTTTACAGTTTAATCTGTTGCATCAAGATTAAATGGTTGATCCGATTATTCATGATAGATTCTTCAAAATAGGAATTGAAATGGGAGACCATCTTCTTTTATTTCTTCCTCGGTGCACCACAACTTAAATAATAAAAACTCTCCCGATCATATTAAAAATGGATTTTTTTTAACAAGAGTTAGGCAGAGTTTTGAAGTGTTCTGGTTGTGCGTGAGCAGTTGAAATATCGCTACTGCCTGGGGTATTAGTTGTTGGAAGGCAGAAGGTGCGGCCTGCAATTGCACGGACGTGAAAAATTATTCGCCACTTCTAGGTAATTGTATCGTTCAGTTGAAATCCACCGAACTTCAAAAAATGCGTGTCTTAACGTTTTTAAAATTAATTTACTCTATAATTATAATAATCATTTAACATGGAATTTAATTTAAATATTTAGTAAATGTGGTTGTTGGAAAAATACTTAATTACATGTTTTTAAACATTATATAGCGGGATGTGTGCACTGAATCGAAATGAAACGAATATCGTAGAAGAGACATTAGAACATAATCGTTCAACTCAACGAGCAAATTCCTCAACGGGTCAGTTGGGTCAGTTGATTCATTGATTTCATTCTTTATTACTTATTAAAAGTTTTTTTTATTTACTGGCCCTCGTGCATTGAACAGTAAATGTTTTTACGACATTTCTCACATGAATTTAATCAATAAATTAATGTTGCGATGATAGATAAATGGTTTAACTTAGATTTAAATTGTTTAATAAATCAATAATTTCAACATTATT